AATCAGATTACCGGCCGTCTCTTAAAACCTAACTCCTCAGTTCAAGTTCAGTTCTTGAGCTCACCAAATTCTCTCCGTGGTGACAAGAGTCCAGAGGATCGAGTCGGCCGTTTGAAACCTCCACTAAAGCGTTTCTGTCACGCCGATAGAATCACTTCGACAGAAACGCCATCTGCAGCACAAGCTGACGCTAAACTCCTTCAGAGTTATTGATTTTTGAGACGCAACCAGTTTCATCAGTCGTTGTGACCCGGAGACATCTCAGGACTGACTTGGTAGCACTACGGTTCTTCTACCCACCTCCTGCTGGGGGGTCATCATCTCCTCCTGACATCTCAGATCCAAAACAGGGTCTCCTAACTGGGTGAGGTAGACACTTCCGACAGATTGCGTCCAAATGCTTTTTTTAAAGAAATAATTTAGCTCAACTGCAAACCAAATTCTTTCACCCAGAACACGTTTTTCTCTCTCTAAGATCTTCTGAGACCTACGTTCACACATCCAAACACACACACTTCCTGTTTAGTTTCATCCAGACACGGATTGCTTTAATATCAAGTTTTTATACCAAAGCTTTTATAAATTGACATTTATGAATTGTTAGTAATAAATTCTTAACTTTTTAAACCTGACTCTTCTTTGAGTAAAACACAGAGTAGTGTATATTTGGTCAGTGAACGAGCAAAAATCTCTTTAGATCTTCTGAATTAATACATAAACTTTTGTAATTAATTCAAATCTCTTAAATTAAATATTCATCTTTGGATTACATATAGAACAAGCCAGTTGGTGTATGAACTTCTATCGATTATATAAATATCCGTGGATATATATATATATATATGTATATATATATATATATATATATATATATATATATATATATATATACTGTATGAGTTTCATTGCCAGTTTGTTTGATCTTTCTCAGAATGTAACAAAGCTGAAGAGCAACAGCGTTAAATTCTAGTTATGTAGATTAACTACGCTATGATTGTATCACAAAACTTTCACCGCTTAGAAACGGCTTTAAGAGGTTCTGGTAAATTCCAGCAAATGACTAAATTCAGCAAATAAGTGATGTAATCTCTGCATGAGAAGGATGGATTAACTTAAATTTCTTGAGCTCAGGAGATCAGATGTAAATGCTGGTGGTCCGGGCATCTTCCCTTTGACTTGAGGATTGGAGCTACGGCCCGCTCATCGCCGTCTTGCCAATTACGTTGAGACTAATGGAAGCAGGCCTAGTTCATCGTCACATGCTGGCACCAATGTGTCCTCCATCTCTTACTCCTGCTCACATACCTCAGCTCATCATGACCAATCACACCTCTACACTCACTTTGGAGGATCTAGGACTTTTTCCAAGATGATGGCATGAACATAAAAAGAAATGGCTTTAGGTTTGGTTCAATGGCCTGACGGAGACTTCTGGAATCTAACGAGTAATGATCATAAATATTTCAGATGGTAAAATAAGTTAAACCAAGACGGACCGATTACACAGAAGGACGTTTACCTACTCCTGCACTAGGTGCTGAAAGGAAACATGCGACGTCTGGGATCGTGAGGCACTAATTCTCCTCACCACTTCACAAAAGAAGCAAAGAAAAAGAGCAGAAGCCAAACAAACAAAAACTAAAATCTACTCAGCAACAGCAAAACAGATGAGTAAAGTCATCATCATCAAAATTAGCCCAACGTGCTCTTTATTATTTAAGTCATTACATCAACTATCCCAAATCCGAGCAACATTCCTGACAAGTCTTTTCCCATGGAGCCCCTCACACCTGCTGGCTAAAGTTTAAGCCAGCATTCTGTTAAAACACAGCAGAGCATGAAACGACATTAACTGTGTCTCAAACAGAGCAAATGAGTGGCCATTTAATTGTAGTGAGTTACACGGGTTCCCCGTGGTAGGGCATGCAGCCCTGAGTAGTCATTATCTCAGGTAGCTATCTCATCACCACCCTTACTCCAGTTCATGACTGTGGCCACAGGCTTTAGTTTTACGGTCGCTGTGCCGTTTCTGTGCTCTTCCAGGGCTGAGGTGTTTCTCAGCAACAGCAGACACACCGGCTGTGTCGCTGTGGATAATAATAATGTGTTCTAATCACTTTTTCAAAGCTGATCTTTACAACTTGTTCAGCCGAGCTGACCGGTTTCACACTACTGCTTATGATGATGGTGACAACAGGACACTGGATAAATGAGACACAGCTTAAACATCACGTCACTGCTGATGATGGTCTCTCATCATCAAACACGTTACCTAGATCTCTAGATGAAGCTATTCAGCATCTTTGTAATCGCTTCAAGTTGCCTTATAAGCACAGTAGTCATGTCATTTATTCCACATTAGGGTTCGATTTGAACAGAGAACTTGAATTAGTGATTCTGTTTTAAACATCAAGTCACATCAAATGAAAACAAATAAACACGTCTTACAACAACAACTACGTAGGGAGCCTGAGTCACTTCCGGACCCCGGGTCCCCGGAAGAATGAAACAATGGATGCAGGTCAACGGGGCTGAAAACATTATTTTCTAATTCTGCCTGTTTCGTGCCATGGATTTCACACACGACGTCCGTGAATTTTAAAGACACATTTTGACACCAACAACGCGCTAATTTTCTAACGGGGAACGATATTTTAGGTTTTGTGTGAAAACAAGTCCAGGACTACAAATGTGCTTCACCAACGTGACATCATCGAACCAGACGCGGAGAAAACAGGGAAAAGGGCCGGAAGTTCAGCAAACGTCCCACAGGAGGACAGAACCACCATAGATCTGGTCATGTGGTCAGTAGCAGCTACGCTGGGGGGAGGAGCTTATGTGGGGACGTCACATATGAGACGTGCTGATTTCTAGTGTGTAGTCATGCTGATTACGAACTTCTCATGAATAACACGATGGAGGGAAACTGTTGGTAGGGCACTAACACAGTGAATATGAATTTGTAGACAGTTTTCCTCAGAAGAAAAAACAGTCATGATACCTCTGCCAGCTGATGCTGAAACAGCTTTTATCTCCAAAGCAAAATCGATGGCATTCCTTCCTTTTGGCCTTGCTGCTTTAATGAAGATGAAACTCAATTTCCCCTTTCCCCCCATCACATTTTAATTATCCTACCTCCTGCTATCTGAATCCTTACAGAAGGGTAAGAAATTGATGCAGCATTTTAAATTTGCCCATCATCTCCACAGCGGCTGTAGGACAGAAATGTCCCTAACCAAACCTCCACTTTGTTTCAAGGCCACCAGTCACACAGTCCACCACATTAGCATGCAGACAGCATCAGATCTGTGGGCCAAACACTCAGTGGACAAACCTCGACAAGCAGACACACACAAACAGCTATTCATGTGAAAGGATCAGGAGACATGCTTGAATTATCCTGCCGCAGATCTCTTAGGGGCCAAATGAACGCCACAAAATTGCTTTAAAACATTTTTCTCATCACAGAAATAATGGCATTTTTTCTCATTACATGCAACACGTTGTGCTGTGCAGTAGATTACTGGTGCAAGTTTAAAATGCATAATGGGCACAGGAGCAAGACAAAGCTAATTATTAAGAGGCAGCCAATAACACTGACACATCACTAAAGCAATAGTCACAAAGTGCTATCAGCCAGAGTTTCACACCCCACTCCGCTCATTTTCCTTTTGTTTGAGTCAAGTGTCGATACATCCCATTATCCCATCTGATGCTCCTTCTACGTCTCCCCTCCACCCCCACGGACTCCAAACAATGTGCTGATTGACACTAGCACACTGTGGCATGTCAGCATATCTCAGCCTTAACAGAGGCTCCAGCTCTGGAAAACCAAAACACACAATGACCGCTAGTTTGACCCTCTGTTGAAAGCTACCTGGTGAAATCTGACACAACAGAACAAATAGCTCATAGAGAATGAAACCTAAAGTTAACAGATCAGATGTGCTGAAATGTAGAACTGTTGGGACAATTATTAAACCAACCAGCCAACCATGGACGGGACATCTACAGAAACAATAACCCAGAGGAAAATGGAGCGGGTGTAAATATGCTTTAACTCTTTGATGCATGAATTATGAAATCTTCAACTATGATTTTTTAAACAATGTGTTTCATTCATCTTTAGGTGTGAATGAAACAAATTTCATATTTACATATTTTTGTAACATTTAATTTACACATAGTTTATTACACGTCCAGCTCAGTGGACAGTGTGCGTTCTGAACATGAAATATGTTGGCTTGACTTGCTGAAGTCCAAAGGGAGGGGCTCAAATGCAATAAAGTCATCAACAGCTGTGCTTAATTGCAAAAATAAATAAATAACAATTTTGAGTACCTGTCCACTGTAGTGACCATTATGCATCAAAGGGTTAATGTTAACATTTTAGGAGAAACACTGAACCGCTTCCACGTTAAACATCTGAAGGTGTGGAACACTGAAACCAGTTTTAATCATTATTTCTGATGCTAGTCATTAATTCTGTGTTTCATACAGGCTGAACATGAAAATAGTCTCCTACACCGATCTCCTGCAGTAGCTTCTGATAGAAAATAGTCTCCTACACCGATCTCCTGCAGTAGCTTCTGATAGAAAATAGTCTCCTACACCGATCTCCTGCAGTAGCTTCTGATAGAAAATAGTCTCCTACACCGATCTCCTGCAGTAGCTTCTGATAGAAAATAGTCTCCTACACCGATCTCCTGCAGTAGCTTCTGATAGAAAATAGTCTCCTACACCAATCTCCTGCAGTAGCTTCTGATAGAAAATAGTCTCCTACACCGATCTCCTGCAGTAGCTTCTGATAGAAAATAGTCTCCTACACCGATCTGCTGCAGTAGCTTCTGATAGAAAATAGTCTCCTACACCGATCTGCTGCAGTAGCTTCTGATAGAAAATAGTCTCCTACACCAATCTGCTGCAGTAGCTTCTGATAGAAAATAGTCTCCTACACCGATCTCCTGCAGTAGCTTCTGATAGAAAATAGTCTCCTACACCAATCTGCTGCAGTAGCTTCTGATAGAAAATAGTCTCTTACACCGATCTCCTGCAGTAGCTTCTGATAGAAAATAGTCTCCTACACCGATCTCCTGCAGTAGCTTCTGATAGAAAATAGTCTCCTACACCGATCTCCTGCAGTAGCTTCTGATAGAAAATAGTCTCTTACACCGATCTCCTGCAGTAGCTTCTGATAGAAAATAGTCTCCTACACCGATCTCCTGCAGTAGCTTCTGATAGAAAATAGTCTCCTACACCGATCTCCTGCAGTAGCTTCTGATAGAAAATAGTCTCCTACACCGATCTCCTGCAGTAGCTTCTGATAGAAAATAGTCTCTTACACCGATCTCCTGCAGTAGCTTCTGATAGAAAATAGTCTCCTACACCGATCTCCTGCAGTAGCTTCTGATAGAAAATAGTCTCCTACACCGATCTCCTGCAGTAGCTTCTGATGATGAAACTCTAGCAGTCTATAGCTGTTGTTACAGGACCAGAGCGTTTGCTAAACGGGATTCGCCGCGGCTCCCTGGGGAGGATAAAGGTCGTTTATAAGATCAGACCGTGGCGGTAATGTGGTGCAATCGTGGCAATTTTATAAAAGATTAGGTGATGGCGGCATAAAGGGGCGGTCTCTGCGCTGACGCAGACTTGCATTTATCTTGGACATAATTTGCTTTTATTGCGATTGAAGCCGTGATCGTTACGTGTTTCTTTAACAAGCAGCTCCTGAAGGCGTCTGTCCCCATCGGTCCCTGTGCGGTCTCTGGTGATCTGAGCTCCAGCTCTAACAGAGAGGCTCGTGGAGCGCTGCGGCGCTCCAGTCTGCCATCTCAGCTGGTTTTGTTCAAAAAACAATCCTTACTGCCCGTGTTTACTTTCATTTTGGGTCAGGGTTAGGGTTAGGTTGCAAGCAGGGAAAAGACCCCTCTAACCTACTGATGTATTTCTCATTTTAGATGTTTACACGGATAAATGGCCAGAAAAAGTACTGGTATGCATGTATGCTATACAAAAGTCAGAGTAGGATGAGGTGTACTTTTACTGCATACCAGTACACACTGGCCCACTTGAAGGCACTGTCAGACTGCATAGGTGTTTGATTTGTGACTGGCAGTGTGAAGGTCAACGCCGTTGGTGTTAGCCACGTTAGCTGTTGGCTTATGTGTTTGATCAGAAAGAGTCAAAACTAGAGTTAGTGGAAACACACAAAATATTAATCGTTCCTAACCCTTTTACAAAAATAAAAGCCTTTTCCAATGATATGAGCTCTCCTTTAACGGCCATAAGGGACAAACATCATGATTCTGAAGGGCTAGCAGTTCTAGCACTCAACCTCTCACGGCAACCCAACAGATCATTTCAACCCTCCAAACACAGACCTGCTGCCACGCCATTCAACAAACCGTTTGCAATGAAGCTGACAAGACCTGCAAGTGAATCACTGACAGCAGTCTTTCAACAGCATACTGGCTTTAGCAGTGTGAGCAGCTAGTAACCACACACACGCATAACACTGGAAGTATTCCATTTCAGAACCTGCTTCAAAAGGCAAAGCTGGTTCTAATGACATGTTTTGGTTGCAGCTAGTGTGCAAGTGGAAATACAAACAAATGATTAGTTTGTGTAACTGTTCACCAGTATCCATCTGCAGCGTCTAATGGAGCCACGCTAAAAGAACAGTACTCAGTTACTGTGGCAGCGAGGTGAGGCTGACTGAAAGGATGGAGGATGGCGGTGCGACGAACAGAAAGAGACCGACTTACCGACTGGAGATGAGTCACCTGTAACAAAAGAGAGAGAGAGAGAAGGAAACTGTGGATCAGTTCAGCGAGCTTTGCAAAATACTCTTCACACCTGCTCATCAAAGGAAAGTCACAACTAAATGAGAAATAATAGCTCAGGGAGAAAAAGGAAAGTCACAATGTAATTAGCTTTTCATGCCTGCAAAAGGTCTGCTTCACACATGAGGCTCAAAATAAAGCTGCTTATTGAGACGCTGAAGGAAAAACAGCTGCTGATGATGTTCCTTCAGCAGCATCTACGCCTTTGTTATGAAAGAAGAGTTTACGGTCAGCAGAAAATTGTATATCTCTACTTAGTTTTTTATTTTTAGGCAAATAATTCATCCTTTAGAATCACATTTTAATGAATGAATGAAGAAGTGCTGAGAATGAATGAATGAAAGTACCAAAATCTTAACAACTGTGCAATTCAACCTTCACACAATAAATAATCATTTGACATTTAGCACCACACACTGATAGTTAAAGTGACAGAAGAAGACGTTTTGTGCAACGCTCAACATTTAAATCCTTTGGCCACAGGCGAGTTCATCATAAACCTCCCGGTGGTGCGCTGGAACTACGATCAAACTAAGAAATAAGACGGACGTAAGTATTTGTTAGCTGATGTTTTGCAAACGATGCATCAGGTGGTGTTAAACGCTGGTTTAAGCTAGAGTCCTAACCCTAACCCTAACCAATGCTGCTAAAGTGGATCTTAAAGCAGCTCCTAAATCTCACAGCGGTCCACGTAAACAGTACTTTATAAACCGCGACACCGCCGTGAGTTTCACACGGATCCTGTCCTGGTTTCATACCCCCGCTAAAAGCAGCACTTCCAGGAAATCCACTGACCAAGTTTGGTAGGAAGTGTTACATTTACACGTTTCCTCCTGCTGCGTTAGCTGGTTTATGTTAAATGACTAAAGTAACATTTGCACGTGCCGCTGCTATTAAATCTGCAACAGCAGCAGTTTTGAAAAGCAAAAATCACCTTTGGATTGAGAGCCAACTTGTTGCTAAAGGACGCGACGCCACGAACACCGGCGACCTCTGATGACAGCTAGAGATACTGGCTGCAACACGTCTGGTAAAAAACAGCTTTTACTGAAATTACGTAAGAAAAGAACAAAAATGGACGAGTGAGGTTGCCAATTTTCAACGAAGCAGCTTTAGGCGCTCGCAGTGTGGCTCACACATGAATCATGAACCTTCACATTGACATCTGTATGATATTGTCCTATAGCAGTATGTGCTTATGTGCAATAGTAAATTATCACCAGCAGCTAAACGTTGCAGGGGTGAGATGTGTGAATATTTACCAGAATACCAGCAGTCATGCAAATGGACAGTAATAAGTAGGTACTGGGGTAGCTTGGTTCCAACCAACCAGAAGCGTCCCGCCTGAAATGTCCTCCAATAAGAGCCTGGACTGCCAGCACTGCACAGGCTCATGACGTTCAAGCAGACTTTGGACTTGGCTGCAGTCAGTGGTGCTGAAGAGATGCTGTTTCTCAGCGGAGAAACCAGTCAGGGAGCTGCTCACGGTTGTGCAAAGACATGAATTCACTATTACTAACATTTATGTTTAACGGGGGCTGAGGGCCGCAGAAGAGATGATCTGGACTCTTGCTCTTTGCACGTCTTTGACGGTGTCAGTACAGAATTATAGCGTCAGCCTGAAGCTCCTTTGGGTTTTGTTCAGCGCCAGTGTTAAACACATGGGCCCAGGATAGGCTGCCATGCATGAGGGCAGCACCTAAACCCTTTAGACTCGTATAAAGAGTTCCTTTCTGCTCTGGTTCATAGAGCATGTCTGTAAGTCGGTGAGACCCTCAACATTTACGAGCTGAGGCTTTAGCCGAAGAGCTCAGGCAGAACTAAGAGGTTCACAGAAAGCAGTGACACCTCAGCCTCCCAGGCCTCATTTGTTAATATCCAGGTTTTTGACAAGGGTATCTCCTGGACCCGAGTGCTGCCCGGCTCAGTCTGACACAGAAACACATGCTCCAGCACAAGGGGAGTAGCTAACGACGGCGCAACAAGGAAAAGAGGCTGTGCACGTGAGACAAGGAGGCAGAGATAGTAGCAAAGGATAAAAAGGATGGGAGAGTTGTTCCAACGTATCTCATCCATCATGCCTCTTCACATCCCCCTGGCCACAGCTAGCACACCAGAGGAGGAATAGAGTCGCACACAGCAGCCTTCCTGCCTCTGTGCAATATAACATCATGGCAGCGGCGTACAGATATAAGGTCGGGGCAACCATCTTCAAGTGCACGACACAGAGCTGGGCTAATCATGTTTTAGTGAGGACGCATTACTCTGCAGGGCGGATAGGACTCAGAGGACCAGCTATAAAGTCTCCAGTGGTCTCGGTAGTACAGTAAATACCAGCAGCTAGTTCTCAGCTGCACGGGGACACTCGTGAGGGAGGAGCTTAGAGTGGGAGCCAAACAAGTGAGCTCTGCTTTACAGGAAGATCAGATCTGGCTGCTCCTTCAATAACAGGTTTTCTGGGATGTCACTGAAATTCCTGTTTCATCTCCTTCATTTTAGGCCTTGGAAGTGAAATAAAGCAGATTTTTATTATCAGGTCATAAATTACATCGAGTTGTGTCTTAATTGTTTCTATTCCTTAAATCGTTTCTTCTGTCGACCTTTTTAAAATGGGATGGGGCATTCATTCATTCATTCATTCATTCATTCATTCATTCATTCATTCATTCATTCAGTGTGTTGTACTGCTGTCTGATAGATTTGAGCATTTACAGTCAGCCCAGTCGTCCAGCAGCAGTCCCAGCAGGAGGTGTTCACCCTTCCACATCTAGTGTGCAGATGTAAGCAGTAGCTTCTGGTTGGTGCGTGCACGGCTGTAAGTAACTCAGATAAAAGTGTTGGTGTAGGAATTCTGAAGTAGGAACAGAACGACCCAAAACCCTAAAATCAGAATGAACAAAACAACGTTTGTCTTTGAATCATATCTGATGTTTTTAGTTATGCATGCTAACATATTCATGTTAGTCACTCTTCAACAGCTGACCTTACATTTCAACTGGGACTCAAATAATCTGATTTCATAAGAGCAGGTCCTGCAGGTATTAAATCTGAAGTACGCCGTTCTTTAAGTGTGAGTACCTTAACGGCTGCTCTCGTGGTCTGCACGTGTTTGTCCTACATGTGTGTGTGTAACCTCGGTCAGGCCGGGCTGCACACACACATTTCTGTAGGGATGCTGAGTCTGAACGACTGACTCTAGTGGAAATCCCGTGCCTCTGCAGGAAAAAATACCCTCTTCATCAGACCTAACATACGTCTTTTTATTTTTGTGACCATGTTAGTTTTTCGAGGTGAAAAAAAGAAAAAGTCTCCTGACAGCTTCTCCTTCGGTTACGTTTTGTGGAGGTGCTTCAGTCTCAGATGGAAAGCTGTAACCTCCGTCTGAAACTGATTTACATTTCATCCCTCACCTTCCTCTGCATCGCTTAGCTGTCAGAGAGAAAGCTTTGTGGAGAGAACATGACACACACACACACACACACACACACACACACACACACACACACACACACACACACACACACACACACACACACACACACACACACACACAGAGACAGGGAGACTGTCCTACTTAAACCCATACAGTTAAAAGCAGGGAAGGTAAGGGTGAGACGCCACCTGCAGCAACACATCAGAAATCAGTGGTTTCAGTGAAAACTCCACCTCAGCAGGATTCCGACTTGAACTGTCTACAGGTAATGTTTCTTTTCCCAGCTGGTGTCTGCCAGCTGACATGAAACAGTAGCAGCAGCTCGTCCTGGTGAGGCTGCTTGTGTGAAATGTAAAAACACCCTTCTTTGGTTTGCAACACAGAGCTGTGCAAAAGTCTTCAATCCAAGTTTTTTTTTACTTTTCCTCAAGGAGATATAGGAGACGCCACCAGTCCCTCCAGCCATCACCAGCAAGCAAAGAGGGCCCAGTGTCTTGCCAAAGGACTGACATGGATGTTCAAACCAGCAGCCCACCAGTTATAGGGCGAACTCTCCATCACAGAGCCACCATTGTCCCCAAATCCTGTAGGCGACTCCTGATCTAGTAGCTCTCCTTGACTCGTAACGTTTTCTTTGGATATTTGATGTTACTTCCTGCCCTTCTTGGGAATTCCTTGGATAAGTCTGTTCCCATAGGAATATGTGTTTTAAGCCCCTTGATCCTGAGCTGTGAATGAACTAATGAACTGACCTGTACAGGAGTGTTTATTATGTGAAGTGCCTTGAGATGACTCTTGTCGTGTTTTGATGCGATATAAATAAACTTGAATTGAATCACTCACACGTATAACAGATTGCTTAGTTTAGAAAACGAACCAGCCAAAGCCTAACGTCTACGATCTTTATGCTTGCTTGTCCCAGAGACGTTTTGTTTCCTCTTCCTTAGCCGCAGCTGACACATGTCGGAGATAGCACACTTTGACAGGCATAAAATACTACTTTTGCACCAACAAAGTGTTTCCCAAAGTGCTGTTAGCCAAAAAGGTGACATGGATCAGCGGAAGGATGATGCATTTGTCAGGTTCTCTGTCAGATTTTTGCAGAGAGTTTTCCTATTTTTTGAACATGTCTTTCAGATGTTGTTTATTTAATATATAGATGTAATTTTTTGTCAGCCTGTCACTTCATCATTCGTCTGCAGCATCGTCACTGTTGTAGGGACACAAGCCACACCATTGTACAATACCCAGAGCTACATTAGGTGAAAGCAGCTGAAGGCTTTTTAACATTCTCTCTGTGGAAACATGAATCTGAACAGTTTCTCAAATTGGTTCTGATCTAAAACCAAATGTACTTTTTTATTTTTACCGTAGAGCATTTAGCAGTGTTGCTGGTTCATCCTTTGAGGTACATTTGGCAGGGGTGAGTCGTGAGCACCTCCTCACCCCTGCCACGCGGACCTTAAGGAATAAATCATCAACCCTGCTCAACGGTCACCCTTCCTGG